ATATATATATGAACATCTTAGCGTATCTGTAAGGTTTAAGATTAAGTTAGCTAAATCAATGATGTTTTCGGTTATATTGTAATAGTGTTATGAAAGGATTTCCAGACAACTTTGCCTTTTTTTTTTGATATTGAGTAAGTTTCTGTTTCACCCATGGTAACTCATATGTAAATTGTTATCAATAGAAAACGAGTATCTAGATGTCAGTGAGGCACGAGTGAATACGCTCTCTTCTGCGCTCAGTAAAAATTCTCGGGTCTTCTAATATGTTGTAGCAAACAAACTTTTTACAGGGACTTTCTATTAGGAGCTGTCTTCTAATGTGATTTTCTTCGTATAGAAGATCGAATATGTTTATAACATTTTGGTTAGTTCCCTATGATTATGTTTCAGATACAAAGTACAAATAATAAAGAAATAAAAATACAATGGGAACTACAATGAAGAGTGGGTGTTGGTGTACGTATTGTTGAAGAGAGCATTCATCTTCACATCCCACACCCATGTGTCAATGATTTCTTCAGGAACACTTTTTTGAGCGAACATTTTTCGGTTCACCCTATTTTGGTCGAAAGTAAAAATATCGACAACAGAAATTAGAGAAATGTCGACAGATACAAATGTTGAAAATAATAGTTTGTGGAAGAAGAAATCCTTTCACCCTAATTCCACTCTTACACTCATATTTGAAGACCTCGTTTTTGTTTTTGATATTCTAGTTTTCGACAGTTTTATCTTTCTACCAAAGTACGGTTAACACATTTTCCCACAATTCTAGTTTTTGAAATTCTAAATATTTTTGATATTTTTACTTTTTGAAATTTTTCTTTTCGGCATTTTTATTTTGATACTTTTGTTTCGTCCTAAGTTTAGACAATCGATTGAACATTCTTCTTAATCATTTCATACAATATATATCTACTGATATAAATGATATAAAATATGATTCTTCGTATGAAATGACCAAAATGTTGTTTTTACTTGAGCGTTTGTTATGAATGAACGTTCTCAAAAATGAAAAAAAAACGAACGTTTATTTCTTGTTTATAAGTTTGAAATAGATTTTGTTTATTTCTATTCTTTTTTTTCTTAATGGACCAGTCGTCCATCTTTCTTTCTTCGCAGTTTCACTTTTGCATTAAGTTTTATCAAATAATGCAATATCATCAAGGTTTTCTTTGAAGATCCATTAATGTCGTTCATATTTCATAGGTATTTCTTGACAATTAACATTCGCGATTGACGTTATAGATATCAGCACTATCTGATGAGAACGATTCAATTTATTAACATTCTATGAAGTTAAACGAATTAATAATGGAGGTGGATCAGACTATTCAAAAGTTACAGCATTATCATAGTCTTCTTTGGGGTCCAATTGAAGACATGTTAATATACGTAATGATACATTTTGACCATAGGCGGCGGAACGTTTTGAATCTATGGTAGGCTCAACATTTTTTAATAAGACCCTGACCGATGGATTAGAAATAGAGGGGTAATTTTTTCTGCTATACTGTTCAACTAAACACAATCAATACTGCTTATTTCTAACTCTACTTTTTGGTTCTCAATATGAGTTCATATCAGAGGTGGATTTGCACTTTATTGCAAAGAAACTTGTATTCAAATAGTCACCTAAACTTTTTTCTTGATTGAATATTGACTCTCAAATATAGTCCTTCGGCTGCAAAAATTTTGTATCGGAATCTGAACTGTTAGTCTTCGTACTCTCAATAGAATTCTTTTACTCCCAATTTGATAATTATTTCGAAGATACTGCAGTTTTTGCGATTAATTTTTCGGTGACTAGCACACCTTACACGTTTTTAAAACACTCTTGACGGTAATATTGTAATAACCAATTTATAACTGGCTTTTGCATGCAGCTAGCGCTCATCAGACCTGAATTCGAGAACTTGTGCCTGGACTCAAATCTGACTTTGGGTAACAGCAATATTTGAGACTCAGACTCAAGACTAGGCTCGGTTACATTCTGAAACTATTTGATGAGCTGCTTTCAAGAAAGAGTCTTTGATTCGTATTACTGGAAATTAGGATTATTGCAACGCAATGGTGCCCCCAGAAAAGGGGTGTCATTGTGGATTATTATCAGCACGTTGAAAATTAGGGATGTTACTTTATTTTTATTTTCTTTATAAAAAAGAATAAAGATAAAGAAAATCTTTATATTTAATAAATAAAGATAAAGAGATTAAAACATCTTTATTCTTTATAAAATAAAGATGAAAGAAATCTTTATATTTATAAAATAAAGATAAATAAATTCTTTACTTTATAAAATAAAGACAAAGAAAAAATTCTTTATCTTTATAAAATAAAAATAGAGTTTTTCTTTATTTTCAAAAATAAAGATAAAATAAAGAATAAAGAATTTTTTTCCTATCAAAACTTATTGTTTTTATTTTGTTGAACGATCTCAAAAAAAATCACCGTATTATGTAATTAAATATAATGCGCAGTAACATTTTTCTCACATATCGTTTCATGAGTAGCCCTTGTTTTTTGAAGATATGACATTTGGAAGTGATGATGGTGGTAAGAAAGAACACTCATTAACATATTCTGTTCTGACACAGGGTATTTGCATATGTATTTATTACATGAAAAACTATATCTTTATTCTTTATTTTAGCTTTATTTTTACCCAGTGAAAAATTTTGGCGATTTTCAATCGGATTTTTCTGCAACAAAATCAAAATTAAAATCGATT